CTGCTGTTTTTCTCTCTCTGGTGAGCACAGGTGCCCTATTGCAAAACTTAAAATAATAATAATAAATAAAATTGAAAATTAAATAATTAAAAAATAAAAATAACAAGTGGCTCTTTCCGAGCAAGACAGGGAGAAGCTGCTGCTGTTTGTAAGGAGCAAGTAGCAGCACGGCCCCAGGACCGTGGGGCGTGGCTCTGGCCCAGGAGTGGCTGCTATGTGGCGGATCAGTGCCTTCTTGGTTAAATCCTGGCCTTGCCACTTACCAGCCAAGGAACTTTCGGCAGTTAACCTCGTTAGCCTGTTTTTCCATCTGTGACATGGAGCTGATCTTAGTTCCTAGCTTACAGAATTGCTAAAAAAAGAAAATCAAATAATACAACAAAAACATTTAGCACAACGCCTAGCAGCCACAGGCTGAATGAGGCCTCCCAGGCTGTGCTTCTTTTTTTTTTTTTTTTTTTTTTTATAAATGAAACTTTAATTTTTTTTTTTTAATGAATCATGTTTCCTTTTAATCGAGTGTTTCCTTCGCTGCTGCTCTGGTAACAAAAAAAATATGAACTGCTTCACAAATGTGCATGTCACCCTTACACAGGGACCCTGCTACTCCTCTCTATCACTCCAATTTTAGAACATGTACCGCCGAAGGGAGCACGGGACTTATTTTTTTAAAAAGGATTATTTTATTTAACTTTATTTATTTATTTTCATTTTTTAATTTGACCAAAGAGAGACAAAGTGAGAGAGTGAGAAAGAGAGAGGGAAAGTGAGAAAGCAAGCCTCCAGGTCTGGGAGTCACCTGGGTTGGCCATGTGGGAGTCCAGCGCCTTTAACCAACATGACCCCTGCCGGCCCACTCCTGCTGTGTTTCTACATGGTCAGAGACAAGGCCCGCATCCTTGGTCACAGGTATCAACCAACCATCCATTTCAGGGTTGATGTGAGGACCCAGTAGGCGCACAGATGAGAAAGCCACCTGCAAAGCAAGCGCGATGCTGTGGTGCAGACGCCCTGCGGTCCTAGCCCTCCACCGCCTGCAAGCCCCCCACCCTGATCTGACCGCCCCTGCCTTTCTGCATGCATGCTTAGGCCGCGTGTACTTCCACGGCCACGGCCCCACAAGCCAGCCTGGGCCCCAGCACCCACAGCTTGGTTTGGCAGGTAGCTACTTTTCTGGCCTCTCCAGGGCTCTGGTCACCAGGTTCTCATTCTGCAGGAGAAAGTCTTAGAATGTATTTCTTTTCTTTTTCTTTTCTTTTTTTTTTTTTTTTTTTTTTTTAGGGGTTTTTTCTATTGGGC